GAAATCTTCAATTGCACAATATTGCGCAATAGCAAGAAATCTTCAATTGCACAGTATTGCGCAATTTCACAGTATTGTACAATAGCACAATATTGGGCAATAGCAAGAAATCTTCAATTGCACAGTATTGCGCAATAGCAAGAATTCTTTAATTGCACAGTATTGCGCAATAGCACAGTATTGCGCAACAACATAGTATTGTTGGCGAACATGGGTACTGTTCAGAACCTGGGCGTAGTTGGCGAACAGGGGTACTGTTCAGAATGTTGGCGACGTTGGCGAACAGGGGTACTGTTCAGAATGTTGGCGACATTGTCGACGTTGGCGACCAGGGTTACTGTTCAGGATGTTGGGGACGTTGGCGACGTTGGAGAACAGGGGTACTGTTCAGAATGTTGGCGACGTTGTAGAACAGGGGTACTGTTCAGAATGTTGGCGACGTTGGCGAACAGGGGTACTGTTCAGAATGTTGGCGACGTTGGCGAACAGGGGTACTGTTCAGAATGTTGGCGACGTTGGCGAACAGGGGTACTGTTCAGAATGTTGGCGACGTTGGCGACGTTGGCGAACAGGGTTACTGTTCAGAATGTTGGCGACGTTGGTGACGTTGGCGAACAGGGGTACTGTTCAAAATGTTGGTGACGTTGGCGACGTTGGAGAACAGGGGTACTGTTCAGAATGTTGGTGACGTTGGTGACGTTGGCGAACAGGGATCCTGTTCAGAATGTTGGCGACGTTGGCGACAAGATTGGCGGGTTGGCGAACATTTCTCCAATCCTGTACCAGCCTGCATTTCTATGCTTAGATGTCATGAAACAAAAAGTGTGAATACAATATGACTCTAGTATTCAAATTGCTCTAATTTGCAAACAGAAGAGTGGAAAACTTGCATGAAATAGTAGTTTTCAACAGGCAAATATTTGATCCAACTACTATACTACAATGTACAGAACAGAACACAAGTTTTGTGCAAAATGATTTTTTTTTTTTTTCTCCCGAATTCGCAATAATTAATTTCGTTTGTGTGTCCATCGTTCAACAATGTCAACAATAAATGCACGGAAAAATTTCTGAATATATACAGTATATGGGGAACAGTTAAGAACCCCGTCTTTTAATCATAAATATGCATCTTCTTATTTGACATGACAATACCCTTTTTCATGCTATATTTGGTCGTTTATGCCTTTTCTCTATTGGTGTAACTTCTGTAGATTTGTTTTTGTGACACTGTCTATTACATATATATATATATATATATATATATATATATATATATATATATATATATATATTATTAATTTGTATATCCTGACTAATTTGATTCGTTTAGAAAGTTCAACTATATTTTTAAAGGTAGACTGAAAACAGCAGATAGAAACGTGATATTGCACGGTTATTTTTAGAAAATCTGACACAATCGAAACAACCAATCAAATGAAATGGTGCTTTACTTCTGATTTATCGACAATAATGATATAACAAAGGTAGCCTTAGTATGAGGTCGATCCGAGGATATGTACAGATCTGTATACAATGTATCGACCACAAGAACTATATCAAGCTCATACTTCATCCTCAGTCCGTATACTTCTTTCAGGTCGATATATCCTCGTATCGACCCGTACAAAGGCTATAATTGTATAATATTATATGTTATCCTGAATTACACATATATTACGGATTACCCCTGTCTTAATGTTTTTTCCAGCGCAGGTATTTGTTAAACATTCACAATGCAGCATATATATTCATTACATGTTAATGGTTTCTTAATATTTTGAGTAATCCATTTAAATGCACCTTTTTTGTCTTGACAATTTTATTTTCGTTAAGAAAATGTTTTCAATAAAGTTTTTAGATTTCATGTTTTGTGTTTGTATGTGTGTGTGGCTTTGTTTTTAACAACACATATATTGAAAAATCCAACCTGATATGTTCTGCATACGAAAAGGATTTTGTAATTTGCTGTGAAATAATTTTATCGTGTATGTAATAATTCGTAATAACACTTTAAAACATTAAATTTAAGTATTTGAAGTGAAAATTGCGTGATTTTGTATCAAAAATATATTATTGACGGATGTACGTCATTATTTTCCATCTGTGAGCCTCTGACATTCTTTAGTGTTTTGTATAGCTAATGACTACGTCACATCGTAACAGGTGTTATGATGACGTTTTAGAGGTTCCAATTGGGGATTAAAACGTCGTATATACCCCGGAAGTTTCCTGAATATATACTGTGTTTTATCCAATCACAAAACTCGACACATTTGTAATCCGTAATATATATATATATATAAAGTCTATCCTAAATTGAGGTAAATTATATGGCCTTCCAAATACCGTTTCGATTCCTAACATCACTGAAGAGACATTAATTGTCGAAATCCGGATATGGTGTACAAATTTTTGCACCTCATGTTTGCGGTATACCATCTTTTTGAAAATTGAAAACAACGTTCAAACCTATGATTGCGTTGGATAAAAACCGCAATTTTAATACGTGTGCATGCAAAACAAATTTCTTGATAGAGGGGTCTAAATACAGCACAAACAACATTTTCCATATGGCGTTTATTTGGCAATCGCCAATGGCAATCAGCAGGGTTTAAGAACATTTGTTGTTCGACCTGTTAGTCAAATGCGTTTTGTTAAAATATACTTTTTCACTTTTTTGGTCTTTTGGAAAATGTTGTTTGTGCTGTATTTAGACCCCTCTAACAAGAAATTTGTTTTGCATGCACACGTATAAAAATTGTGGTTTTTATCCAACGCAATCATAGGTTTGAACGTTGTTTTCAATTTAAACTTGTTTATTTATATATCTATATATATATATATGCTATGATCTGTTAGACTAGTATAGAAAATGTTGGACATACATCATAACACTAGCCGTCATTATAGGTTTATTCAGACAAAATACTACAATAATTTTTACATTTTTAGCTTGAAAAATAGTCCCACCTAAACGGTTTTGGCTAGGCAGACAAACAGTCCAAGCACTATTCATATGGTTAGCCGGACATGTATCGATAGTTAAAAAGGTATTACAAAAATACTGAACTCCAAAGTAAATTCAAAAGGGCAAAGACCATAAAAATTGTCAAAATCAAATGTTGGACTTCTATCAACCTACAGAACGAATGGAAAACAGCTGTCATATTCCTGACATTGAAAATTATAAACTGTTTTGTTATAAATTAGGCCGTTAGTTTTCTTCATTGAATTGTTTCATATTTTTTATGTCGGGGCCTTTTATAGCCGTCTATACCGTAGTATGGGGTTTTCTCATTGTCGAAGGCCGTTCGGTTGCCAATAATTGCTTACATCAACTTAATTTGAACTTTGATGGATACTTATCTCATTGGCAATCATACCACATACCCTTATTTTTATATTGGTACAGACATTACGCGAAGAAAATGGTGGGTTTAATCTGGTTTTATAACTAGCTAAACATCTCACAAGGATTGCCGGTCATATAACATCTTCCATTAAAGTTATTTCTTATGTCTGATAGCTCTATACTCAATCGACCTTCTCCTTAATTTTTTTTTGCGGATATACCTTATTAACCTTTTTAAAATGCTTTATTGGATATATGAGATTAACATATATCGAATGATTGAATGTATGAAAATTTCTATTAAACAGATTGTTAAAATACAAGTTTGCTAATTCATTTTTCGTTCTTCTTGAAAAGTCCATGTGTCAGTCTGTCGAACACAAATGGCAGGGGGAACGAATTTGTTCCAATAGTATTGCGATTGTCTGAAAAAAAGCCCACAAAAGGGTAGCATGAAATGCGGACTAGTTTTTTTTAAGTTTTGACTTCCTGCAACAAAATACTGGAATATACATATTGCTAGTTTTCTTTTTGATACTAAATGAAGTAATCTTTTTTTCAATTAGTTTCAAATATTTAGACATCAAAATTTAAAAAAGGTCACATGTTGTTATATGTATGATACAACAAGAGGAAATGGTACTATTATTGATCCTTTACATTAACTTATATCCAAAACGGATTCCAATCTCCCTTAGAGTAAATGAAGTTACCCTGAGATTGGTCATACAATTATAGTTACTAGTTATCTAGAATCCATGCTACGTCAAGCAAAAAAAAAAAACCAACAAACGTATGGACAAATATATAACTTTGTGTCTAGTACAGAGAAGACGATTTTATAGAGGAGAATGAAGATTGGTAATTGTCTTGTAGATTGTTTTTCACTCTCCTTAAATCAACAATCTCATGGAAGGCCTCATGGAACAGTTTGTGAAAATTATATCAAAGGTACACGTTTTCAATTACAGTGTTCATCTAATCAGTTTTTTCCCATGACAAGACAAGACAAGACAATAGTTCATTGTCTGAAGTGTTAACACGACCCCTTATAACGACTTGAGTAATATCTTATTATATTGCTAGTCCAAAAGAACATAAGTGGGAGTTATCAATAATATACAAAATTTGTAAAATGTTTTCATAAAGGCATATATTCGTTTATTCGTTGCCCACGTTTTCTCTGAAAGTTGAACTAAAGTATCAAGTATTCTCTCGTAAAAATAAAAATTGTATAAAAACCATTATCAAAACAAATACAATTTTTCAACCAAGACACTACCTTCAATAACTGCTTATCATCCAGAAATTAATTACTATGTTTTCAAATTTGGAGGTTTCGTCTTTTGAGTTACTTTAAACATATTGAATGCTGGGCAAATAAATGTAACTAAGTTACCAGTCGAAGTTTTTTTCTAGCAAGCAGCTTTATTTTGGTACTTTACAGTACTATATTTATAATTTAGGCCGTTAGTTTTCTCCTTCGGTGGCCTTTTATAGCCGACTAGACGAAATGGGTTTTTCTCATTATCGAAGGTCATACGGTTGCCTATAATTCAATTTGCTTACATCCACTTCATCTGAACTTTGTTGGATAGTTGTCTCCTTATTTTTATATTAAGATACTTAAGAAAAACTATTATTTTTTTTCAATTTTTATTTTTTGATTTTATACATTGCAAAGCAGTTTCACTTTCTTCTTGTCAAGGTTTCATCAGTTTTGAGTCGAGAAGACATCGGGATCACTGTAATAAAAAAAAATAAAGATAAATTTTTCATGAATTTAATACTGTCTCAATATTACAGATGTCCTGATTAGAGTAGAGAATACTATTTTGGGTCTGAATTACACCAATATTTTTTTTAATATCATTGATGAGATAGCAACACTTAAAATAAAAACAAAAATATTTCCCGTTTTTTCTATGATAACCAAGACAATAAAACATAAATGGCAAATATAATTATGTTGGACAAATTTAATTTCATAAGAACGAACAATGTCTCACAAAAACGGCAACTGTTAAATTTTCATTTAAAAAAAATCTTACATTTAAAAGTGTAAGCAAGTAATGTTTACAGCTATTTTTCTTACCTTCATTTTTTCACAAATGTAGCCCATACCATTACTATTATAGCAGGGAGCATCGTTCCATCTATAACTTGCATATCGCCAAAAGTGAGCACAATGCTCTACACCTCCACTATTGCTTGGTTCATAACGATTCCAATGGGAATAGTGAATTTTAGACGCGTCATTGATCCATCTCCATTTCCCGTCGTTAAAGTCTTCTGCCCCCATCCAATAGCCAGCGGGATGCTGGACCGCTTCTGTTAGAGAAATTGTTGATAATAAAATAAAAAGATTAACGATGGTGTTTTGTTTGAGCTATTGTAAAATTGTGAAATATAGAAATATCATATTTTGCATTTCATTATTTTTTGTTTATACAATAAATATTCATGATATTATATATGCTATGTAATTTTTGAAATCCGTCAATAAGGGACAGCTAAACAATTACAAGTCCAAATAGACAACACCACAGCGAAAAGAAAGACGACGAAATGTCAAACCAAAGACCCTACAAAAATCCCGAGAAATCCAAAGATTGAGCAATAAGAATCCCACAAAAGCAAAGGATGAACTCATCAGTTGCTCCGGAAGGATCATCTGCTACTGCTCCACATGTCACACCCGTCGTATTACCATTAAAACATTAATAAATCATATCCATAGATTAGACATCTTACAATAGTGGATTCATAAATATCTATTGTTTAACCAAATATAAAAAAAGAGGAACAAGAAAGAAGATACAAAAGAGAAAAAAAAAAAAAACAAGTAAAAATCAGATGATAAGTCATTTTTTGGTACGGTGATTGCGATAAACTCAGAATGAAAGACGTAGTAATTGCTATGAAAAATAGATATCTTTGGTCATCTTTGAACAGAAAAAAGTAGAATTACAAAAATACCCAACTCCGAGGAAAAAAGGTATAATATAGATAATATTTCATTTTCCAGCCATACTATGGAATGCGTACTTAGTACCTATTTCACTTTTAATATTACATAGCTGTGACATCGAACATGTCTCTCTAAAAGATCGACTTCAATTGTCTGCACTGATTATCCACAAACACATCCTCAGCAGCCAGTTTATATTTCTACTTGAAAAGTAAATATAGTATCTACTAGTATATCTTTAAATAAATTACATGATCATAGAAAATCCTTTTATTAATATGTATATACTTTAAGTTACTTTTTGGCGTAATAAAAAAGGCTTTTACTTACTTCTCAGCATGTTTACAACCCAGGCATCTTCGGCAGAATCTGTAATCTGTGCTAGATACCCACCCATCTGTCTGCATAGTTTCTAGAAGGCATGAAAATCACAATATAAACAAGGAAAATTGATTATAGGCACCAGTGAATTGTTGTTAAAAACTAATGTGACATTATTTTTAATATTCGCAATGACAGAACTCGCGACACAGTTATAAAAATACTGAAAACTTTGTTATATAGTTGATTCAAAATATAAAATAATGTACTTCACATGCAGTATGCACTTTAAGTTTTCTCCATAACAAATTATACATATCATTCGCTGTAGTTTTGACAAAAAAATCAAAAAGTTATCATAGAACAGTTATAGCATTGGCAAAAACGATTTATTTTGAACTTCAATACAAGACAGTGCGGAAAGAAACGGGAACAAAGAGTACTTATCTAGAATTAAACATCAAACACTTGCTGATCTGTGTATAGTGACACAAACCTCAGCTTTATTCCAAGTTTTGGTGTCAGGCGAAGTATAATAGCAATGATTCTTGTACTCCTTCCATCCCGATGGACACCCAGCGGATTTTCCTGTGGAAATAATAATTGCTTTAGTATATATAGAAAAATAACAACACTGCTGTAAAAATACAGTCTTACTAGTTGAAGTGTTTTTGATTTATAAGAATACATTGATCTGAGCAATGTTAAGTGTTAAAAAAATCATGTTTGATTGGATATAAATGACACATTTAAATGATACAATTAATCTACTCTTCAAAAGACAGTAGGTGCAGCTATCACAAACTTTTAGAAATAGTTTGTCAGCTTTTTCCTGATTTTCCAATAAATCAATTTCAAATTTGTAGACCTATCACATATCGTAATTGCAATTTTCTTAACTACAGCCGCTGAACTAACATCAGGTCACATTTTCAATTTTATCTAGCCAATAGAAGATATTCTGTACACATGTGTACATTTAATGATGTAAGTGTCTAGTCATCCAGGATTATGAATAGAAGTAAGTTTTTTTTTTAAATTTAACAGTCTGAGAATTTTTTTTTAGGTATAATGCATAACAGAGTAAGAAATTTAGGACCTTACCTTTCAAACTGTTTTTCAAAGTATTCAAAGTGGACTCTATATTTGATATAAGTGAAATTTCCTTCTGACCAAAACAAGTTTCTGATCTGATCACAGAAACGCAACCAAGAACGACAAATAAGGCGAACAACATCGTCCTGTTAATTACTTGGAGACTAAAGAAAACAAAAAAATATAATTATAAACATTTTTTTCCCTAGATTTTCGAATTCTGTTTATATCACGTAGCCATGTTATTTTCATAAGGATTGTATAGGTATATCAAAGCTATATGCCTAACGTGCAACATGGTCATTTCTGTATTTTTTTAACGAAATTATGACGGTATCTGTTGATTACTTTTCCGTCAAATAAAAATAGCGGTAGAAGATACCAATGGGCAACCAAAAGCATAAGTACAATAAAAACAGATAACACGATGGCCAAATATAAAATATAACGACGAAAAGACAACTAACAATAATAAAAAAATCATCATCAACAGTTCACATTTTGCTTAAACACAACATCTTTTTCATTTAAGCATCATACTTTGTTAACACAAAATTATATTATGACATGGTTTCAAAATATTATTAGTAGCAAAAGGCACTTAAATTTCAGAATAAGAACAACAAAAAAACCCACAAACCTTGTTATTGTTGAATTCTTCGTACTGAAGCGAGGTTGGTGCATTATTGCGTAGCAACTAAATTTTATATCATTAAACGGTAACACGAGAAATATAACCTGTTCATGTTTCCCTCAAACCTGTTAATATGTTTCAGTATAATATTACGGAAGAAACACAATATGCTGCCACTGAGGTCTATTGCAATATTGTGAATTAAATTCTAAGAAGTGACATTATATTATTGGAAGGAAACTAAGTGCAAGAACATTTTACTCAAACGTTGTTTTCACGTTGTCACAATTTAATATAAAGTACGATACCCACGACTTCGTCAAGATACATAATTTTTTTCCCGAAAAATAGTAACCAAAACCTCAATATAAAATATTTTCTTTATTGGTCCAGAGTGTACCTGATTAGGGATATTTTTCTAAATACATATCAAACGTACTGGAATCAGTATGTATGATCACTGTAAATGTCACAAAAAGTTGAATGAAACACAACCAAATTGCCAATTATGTTTTATACATTTTGCATAAATATATATTTGTGTTTTTAAAGAACGGGTATTCCACTAATCCACATAAGGATGTTTAGCTGAGTATTCTTTAAAAGCAAATTGGCCTAACTGAGTTGTCACCTTAATTTCATAACAAGATTACTTAGTTTTAACTGAACATTTACAGTAAAACACAAGGTAAGCGACAGGTCTGCGGCTCCAAGCAGTAACTCGACGTTACTTCTATATTTTTCAAAAAAAATATATGTTGTTTCTCATTATTAAGGGCCAGTCTGCCTAAGAATCAGGCAGTTGTGAAAAACAGAAACCCACTAAAGTTGACATTAATTTATGTTCAAATTGTATAATGATGCACGAATATAACATTCGTTTCCTTTTCCTGTTTTAGTAATTCAATATACAATTTGGTTGAAATGCACTAGAAATTAACAATTAAGAGGAGCTTATTAGTACGTAATTTGCTCTCATCCTAATCAAACGTTATCTAGCGATTTTTCGAATTACCAGACACGCAGTTTCAAAAGACCTATCATTTCTAACTCAGGATGAGGGTAACTTCAAAAGAGGATGGTTAGAACGGTTGTTTTTTTTTGGCCATGTTTTGAAATTTTTCTAAATTGTCTTGATTCGTACAAAGACTGGCACTTAAATCGAGGTTATGTTTTATTTCGACGATTTTGACTTTGTTTTTCATGAGTATTCTTAATTGAAAAATGTACACCACCCAATTAAAACAGCCCTTTTCAAAGATGAAAATAATTTATATTTGTATTTGTTAATTGACAAAATGAAGATCTATTTTGTTTTTGATATTTTTCCGGAGTTAAGTAATTTCAGACATCCTTTTAATTGATATGGAATAATAAAAGGTTTCCGGACGGCGGCATTATACATGTTTAGATCTATTTGATATTTAATATGAAAATAGTAACATAACAAGTTAATGACATCTAAAAGGGTACGGAGTGAATTTGTATATTAGTTCATAGTACGTTTGCTGATATTCCACGTATTCTCTAGATTATATCCATGTAGTGAAACCTACATGTGGATCTTTCCATGTCTTGGTGTTTAACAACAGTTGTTATATTTCGTTGGATACTTAAATTTCTTGGATAAACTCATCCACGAAAACCACGAAAATTGGTACCCAACGAATAAAAGTACTTGCACAGTAATTCTTTCCTCATAAATAACTACTTACATCATCATTAGACACTACATATATTTTTAAAGGCACAATCAGTCAATTCAATCACGCCCCAATCTTTCGCGGTTATGATCTTGTAAACTGACTCTTAAGAGATTTTTGATGCGGATTTTTATCACAACCAAATTTGTTGTAGACGAAATCGATTACTCTTCTATGTTTTCATTGCTTATGGAAGGTTTGAACAAAAGGGAAAAAGACCAACGAAAGTGAAAGAGAGAGAGAGAGAGAGAGAAAACTAAAGTATTTTTTGTTTGTTTTGTAATTATACAACGAATTTAGTATATCCGTACGACAAACGATACAAAAGAGACGAAATATAGCAAAGGAACATTCAAACTCATCAGTCGAAAAGAAAACTTTCAGCGCCATGGCTAAAGAAGAAAAAGATCAAGAGACAACCACAATAGTACACAAAACACAACATAGAAAACTAAAGACTGAGCAACACGAACCACACAAAAAACTGGGGGTGATCTCAGGTGCTCCGGAAGGATATTAAGCAGATCCTGCTCCACATGTGGCACCCGTTGTGTTGCTCATGTTAGTACAAACCAGATAATAAGTCTTATGCGGTAGGTCACATTCGGAAAAAGAGGACGGGATTGCAGTTACGACATTAGGAACATATCCACAATCATCTGTGAAACGGATATTCCATAACGGACAAACAACTCGTGTTGGCGTCCGCAAAATTTACGAAGGAATGATTTCTATTTCACCACTTGGAACTCTTGGTTTAATAGCTTCCTTGTAAGCAGCAACCCTCTATCAAGAAAAATTTGGGGCCTCGGTGGCCGAGTGGTCTACTGTAATCACTAGCCAGTCAACACTGAGGTTGTGAGTTCGAACCCCGCTCGTGCGGGTGCACTCGACTCCAATCTTAATTGACTAGGATTGTCAGTTTTCCTATCGAAGGTCGGTGGTTTTCTCCGGGCACTCCGGCTTCCTCCACCAATAAAAACTGGCCGCCACGAAATAGCCTAAAAGCGGTGCTTAAAAGTGGCGTTAAAACACCAAAAATCAAAATCAAATCAAGAAAATCATGATAGGAAACACAAGCCCTGGAATATTGTATTAACTGGGAGATATATACTCCGTATGCAGGCGCTGATGGAATTTCCTACGTAGAAATCGAAAGTTCACAATTAGGAAGCTGAAATCATCTCTTTTGTCGTAAAATATTATATTAAACCGTCCCTCGTTGTCAATTTCCAGATGTCAGTCAAGATATGAGGCAGACTTAACTGTATCTGTTGTATCCTTTATCTCAAGTTCGACGGGATAGATGCGTTCAACATAGTCACCAAATTTTTAATGATTTAGTGAGAGAACATCATCTATATCATGTATATAGCGGAAAGTAAAGTTAAAGTATACTGCTAACTTCTTTTCTAAATGTCATGGGTGGGGTGATAAAACTTACAGACTAATCTTAGAAAATCATATGTGTTTTCTTTTAATATTGGCTTTAATCATTTAACAACACAAGAAATAAAAAAAAAGAAAAGAAATTGGAGTATCGAAATAGCGACAGTTACAAATTGTCAACGAACTTAATTAAATCTCATCTACTCATCGAAGGACAGTGGATTTTGAATTCTAGGGAAATTTGTTGTATTTCAAATTTTGCCAAGAAAGTAATAAATGTGCATCATAATGAGATAGCAACCCGAATTAAAAAAAAATTCTAAAGGACAATATACAGTCTTCAAGATTTGACAAGATTCTCTACAATATATCAAGCTATTAAAAGAGATTAGCAAAATTTTATATTTTCGATAATCTTGTTTAATTCGATCAAAATATTTGCGTGAGTGTTTGGCTCACAGCAATATGTGATATCGCCGAAAGGTGGGGCTAGCACATGGTATTTTGAAATTCGAATTTCTGAATTAAAATAGAATATCTTTAAAATGTAAAAAAAACACCTGCCGAATTTGACGATTTTCCCTCTATATTCTATGTATTTTTGGCGTATCATACTGTTAATTTCATCAGCTCGTTTCTCAAAAACGAAAACGGTTACCCCCTTTCTTAATTCATTATCTGGTGTATTTCTGCGAGCAGAATCCATCTGGTAAATTAAAAATAAAATCTGTGGAGTAGTTAATAACCTACACTTCGCCTTAACGTAAAAATACAATATTTCGTCCATGTAAAAAATGAAACAATGAAAAAAAAAATAAAAAAATGACACCGTAATTTTTAGCGACCGAGATAGATTGTGGCAAATGAATAAGAAATACCAAAAAAAACCAATAATACCCAGAAAAAGATATAATGTCAAATCTATTTTAACCTCCAAGTAATTATCCGTTATTTCTCACAAACAATTCTATATATATCGGTATTTAGATATTTTGCATTGTACTTCCGTAATATGATACAGTCTATATGGAGAAAAAAAATAAACACGAACAGGTTATTGTAATATTTCCCTGAAACACGATATTAAAAACTTTTCGACATTTCATCAATTTGATAATTACATTAAAACTTCAGTTTTGATCATACAATAAAACGCCATTTTTCTTTTCATATCTTATTAATTCCATTATTAATCAAATGCATCGGCTAATATATAAGTTGATAAGTATCGGCAACAGTTCTTATTTTGTGGAAAACGAATGATAGATGAATGCGGTAAATCCATAAACGAGAAAAAGAGGGCTGGACTGTGTCGATAAGAGGAACAAAACTGTGGTCATCTGTGGCACAGACAGTTAATATCGGTCAACCAAATCTTTCATTGGTCCGTTCATTATTCGAGATATGGCTTAATCATGTTAATTTAACAAATGAAGTATTAATATAATACTTCCATCATTTGACCAATATTTTTTTAATAAGCATGAACCTTCTTTAAATATGAACATGCTGTTGGAAAGAAGTACAATAAGATGGAAAGTGCACAGTGAGACAATTAATTTATACGTTTCATAACGAGTACGAATTTGATATAGCTTGATATCAACTGGAGTTATTTAATTTCAGTTCAATAATAAAAGAGCCTTTGACGGGTTTATTTGTTTTCATTGAAATTAAACAAAGGGTGTTGATATCAAGCGATTTAAATTCCTACGAGAGTTGTTTATCCAATTTTTCTGATGGCAAAAATGATCTTTGTGTAAAAAAGATCTTTGCAAGCTTCACTTAAAACATTTTACCGTTTACGGTATTGAGAATATTGTCAGGAATCACAACTGCTGTTAAAGGCGGTTGAACACCTCAGAATGGAACATGTGAAACCAAATTAAAGAAAGAGAATATTATTTTAGTAAAAAATTCGGGTGGTTTGAATGTTTTTAAAGAAATAAAA